ACAATACATTTTTATTGCCTATATTACATAATAGATCAGTCACGTTGTCATCTTTAAAAAATAGTTTTGCTTGTACGAATATAAATTACAATTTCACTTTCACAGATTCGCGATAGACTTTGTTTCGGTGAGCGAGGAGATAAAAGAAAACGATCTTTAGACACGACTTTAAATACAGCATCTTTTATATATATGTATATATGTGTATATATAGATATATATATTTTTTATATTCAACAGTAACATCACAGTAGCTTCATATACAATAAATCTTTGTTCATAATTTTATCTGTATTCTTTTTGTATTCGTTACCACGTAAGCGCGACACGGCGAGTTCCTAAGATTCATCACGACGACAAGCGGAAGGAAGAAACTCGTGTGCACGCACTTTTCACAATTGTCAGGTCACAGTGGTCTCACGCCGATATAATCGCACGAAACTGGAGACGCTCTTTGATATTTACGTAAATTGATATTCAGTAATCTTGTCCGTTACACGCACTATTGGTAACTTGAATCCACGTACACAATAATGGGAGTGCGATATATATATATCGGGATAAGAAAATTATTAATCTCAATTAACATATCACGTCATTGCGAAACAAGCTGAGATCTGTAAATGATAAATTATATTAGTATAATGGAATTAAACGTCCGAATAAACGCGAGGTAACATTTTGACGGATTATAAACTGATGTCGATCACTCGACATTTTCGTATCGAGAGAAATGTATAGTTGCAGGAATCGAGAACCACGACTTTTACACCGGCCGTATTGTTGGAGACAATTTGAATGTGAGCGGGTTGTTCATTAAAAGATGGATCGTTTTCGATATACCCGTATTTAGGAATGATATTTTATATTCTATCATCGCTAAATACCTTGCCAAAGTCCAAGCACACGTTCTGTAGAATTTTTGTATGATATTACACGGGGATAAAATTAAAAAGTTTATCGTGGTTCACGCGCAAGATAAGCTGACGAATTCGGGAAGAGTACAATGCCGCGATGTGAAGGAAAAGGAAATATAGTCGTGGCATCTCGCCGCTGCGTCTGTGCGTGCAATTGAACGGACAATACGTTTCCCCCTTAACAATAACGACAACAACAACAACAACGAGACGATGAAAATCCAATGGCAGCGGTATAATGTTGAGAAGAACAGCGAGTATTTAACAAGATAAGAATGACAACACGTACACGGCATCACAACAACGGCCTTTATAGACTATCGCACAAATAACCAGACGCATACCAGAGAATTCGAGAAGCGCTTAAAGATTACGCACAACCCTCGTACATCGCACAAAACGCAGAGATTATCCTTAGCCCAGGCACACATTGAGTCCTGCGCGATGCAGTAGCACATCCGTACACATGCATCATCACCGCCTTAATTCCGCGGAACCGTCAGAATTTATATAATCGATTTTAAAATATTTAACAGCCTACTGTACTCTCTAAAATTCAATCAGTGAATTACCATCGAAAACAGTGAATAGTCACTGATTTACCAGTTATAAGTATACCACTGCGATTTTCAGTGCTACACTTACAACTGCAAATCAATGGCTACGCGAGAAATGAACCGTCTATCGATGTCGAATCGACATCAACACCGCCAATTGACATCAATTTGACATTGTTTCGACGGGTCATTTCTCGCTGGGTACTCACTGTTTTCAGTGATAATCCACTGATAGACTTTTCGAGAGTAATGTATATGCAAACGACTTCACAACTGCTTGGCTTTATAAACGGTATTTTGATTTATACGATTAGAGTGGACAAATCGTTGAATTGTTTGTCCACTATAAAATGTACAATAGAACGTTACCAGCAAAAATTAAAACCACAAGCAGCCAAGAAAGATTGAGAAACTGCTGAATTTTCAGTCTCTTATCCTTCATGATATTCCACTCGCTAGTAAATTATTTCGATAAAACGATCTCGTACCCGTTACGGCAGAAAAGCGCTTTTAACGACGCAATCTTTCCCCATCGGAAATCCGCCTCAATGTGCGTCTGATATTACACTTACTTACTCTACTTACTCGCCGGGGTCCGCTCACGTGGCTCACAATATTTCGTTACGCAGTTTTGACTCGTCGCATTGTATACTCTTTCTCTCCCTCTCATTCTCCTTTCTTTATCGTTACGTGTACACATGTATGCCATGTGCGCGCGCGTGTGTGTGTGTGTTTACATCTTAATATATATGTGTACGTATATATATTTTTTCTCTCTCCTCCTTTCTTTCATTTGCTTCCTCTTCTCTATTCCTCTGCGAAACAATTCCTTTATACATTTGCGTGAATGTACAGTTGAACAATAGGCGGCAATGGCTGGACAGAATGGCGTTCGATGACTTTTTGCAAATTTTCTTTTTTTTTTTTTTTGGGGTGTTCTCGAGGGGATGTCGCACCTCGGCATGGCGCGTCACATTTCTCCCCCCTTTCGCTTTATCTTTCTTGACAACGAGTAACGCCTGGACTGTCGTCGAGTACAGTAAAAAAAGTTTCGTTTTGTACATTAGTGTATATTCGTGCCACGGCGCGAGAGGAGGAAGAGTTATACACGACAGGCGTAAGTTTTTGTACTGACTTGTGATATTCCCATTTTGTTGAGCAAGCTCGAGCGCAGGTTCAAATCTTTTCACATTTTAATTGATGATTGATATCAATGTAATTTCGGCTATATCGATTTTCGATACTACAGATAAAAGTGAACCTCACTACGAGGGCATTCTCGCATGCCTATAGAGATCTAAAAATACTACATATCAATCCTTAAGTGTGTAATGCTTAATGTCAATTTTATAGATAATTCTATTTGGTACTCTCGAACCTTATAAATCACCGCGCGCAATTACGTAATCGTAATTGTATCGCGATGACGTGTCTCATTGCAAAATACGGCAATCCTGAGCGAACCTGCGCCGAGCTTTACTCCGATAAATGTAACGATGAATAATGAGCTTATGGCGCGTCTCTACATAGATCGGGGAGACATCGTAGACACAATGACGAACAATCGAATACACTTCAATCACACACTAAAACTACGCTTACACACTGACGAAGTAGAATTTCGAATTTCACCCGCTTCGCGATCCGTCTCTATTACTGTGTGGCTCCTGTGTTTGAATCTGTTTTATGGAAATTATGTTTCACTTACGTGCAGAAAACTGTAATACTTAAGCATTCAATCTCTAAGGCCCGGTTTTTCGTCTTCTGGTTAACTGTCAACCAGATGTTAGTCGGCGCTCCATCTTTTTCTATGTTATTATCTGAGAAGTGACAGAGAGTTGACTAATTTCTGACTAACAGTTAACCAGAGAATGAAAAGAAACCGGGCCTAAGCAAATTATTAACTAAAATTAATTTGAAAAATAATTATATCCGCAATTTATGCACTTGTAACTTTTTTCTTTGTCATGCGGTAAATGCATTTACAAAGCTGCTTTTTTTCGTAAAAAAAAACGCATCTCTATAATAATAAGAAATGGACAATCACTCAAATTGATCTGGAGATAATTGGATCTCGTCGAGTGGCGGATTTCAAAACTACTTGCGTCCAGCCGCTTGCCTGAACAATAAGACACTTAACAGTTTGGCGTCCTCCGCAGCGGGAGAAGGCCGATTTTAATCCTCAACTATTATTATATGTATTTTAATGAAACAACAACTACAATGAGTTCAATTTTGGTCCCAATAATAGAGTACAATCCTGTTTGATTATTTTATGTGCTTATGTCTAGTCCTATTATTATATCCGACGAAGGATAAATCATTAAACATATTTCTATTAACAGTCATTTTTAGTAGAGAAAGAGAGAGAGGCAGCCTATATTAGTATATATTATTATAAATTACCAAAATGTATCTTATGTGATTTCCATTACACGGTTATGCTGTGCGATGATGCGCAACAAAATTTGTGTCGCAAATAATCTTTTCATTAAGACCAGGAATTTGAAAAATATTATATTACATAGATATGTGTATATATAGATTGTGAGCTATAAAAAAATAGTCAGATATATAATCAGACGCTATTTCTGACGCATCGTAAAATTACGAACTGAGAAATTGGGAACAGTATTGAACCCATCGTAGTGGTTGAGGATTAACGGCCTTTTACCTTTACGCACATTACATCATAATATTACATATAGTAACACAATATACATCGGGGAATCGGCGCTTGAAAATATTATGTCGTATCGCGACGACCAACCGAGATCGTGTAAAAATATTTCCTCCATTGGAGCATCGAAGAAGAGACCGACTTCTGAAAAATATCTTCGGAAAAGGAGAGTGTTGTTCGCGGAATATGTGTTCTGTGTGTGAAATCGCGCGATTTTCTACCCTATTTGTTCTCTCTTCGCCACTCGTATTTTTGATATACTTGTTACCGGAGCGCTGCCGGGGCCAGGCTAGTCGCGGTCTCGTTTGATATTCGCAAAGATTCGTCGAAATCGCGAAACGACTCCAAACGAAAATTCTTTTCTTTTCGGAAATCCATTCTCCCACCGGAGAGAGATCGTCGATATGTCTCTTCTCTTCGCAGAACGGGAAGGTCGAGTTGTTCACGGTTGTGTGATGAAAAACATTTTGCGGCTACGAATAAGTGTTTCCCCGGAAGGGAGTCCACTTTGCCAAACGTAAAAGAGGCCCGCGCGTGTTGTCGCGCGAAAAATTCTTTCTCCGGCCTGCCCTCTCCGTGGATTTTAGAATCTCTGCCTTAGAGTATTTGAAAATATAAAATCTACGATAGAAAACAGAACAGACCTCGAATATATGTATATATACGTGTATACATGTATATATGTACGCATATGTACATATGTATATGTATACGCATATTTTCTTTCTCCCAACATTCAACATCAATTCGCTTGCGCTGTTATCGTTATATATTATGTTATATTTTACATCTCATTTTTACTCTAGCGTCATTATTATTTTTATTGTTATTGTTGTTACTCATCGTTTATCGTTTTATTCTTATGCATATGTAACGATACGTATATATATATATTATATGTATATTTATATGTTCTTTTTTAAGCTTACGTAATAGTAAACCATTCTTATGTGCTATTAGTAGCGTTTTCTTTTATGATACAGATTGTCATGTGTCGGCAATTTATTAAGTGCCGCCGATACGATACGCGCTCTCAATCGAAAGCCTTTCTGACCGATCATCATTAAAGTGAATTTTTCTTAACCCTTCGCGTCGACAAAACGGAAACGCCGTATCGTCAAGTGATTCGTTTGCTATTTTCGCCTTTGTCATTTCACCAAAGCCAAAGGACAGATGACATTGCCGCACAATAAATATTACTAGTCAGATTTGTCAACGTTCACCTGCGGTATTGAAATGTAATAAAAGTTTTCCTTAATTAATTATTACCTTGACTGATCAGAGATTTTATTTGCGTGAATCTTCTCATTAACGGTATGAAAATTGTGCTTTTCCCGCTTTCTCGCGTTATCCGCGAGCCAATCAATACTTTACACTTAATTTTCAATCACATGTTAGGAATATATTAATAACAAAGTCTGTGAAGATTGATAACGGCTATTTACGAAACTGTAACACGAAAGTGACGTAACGTGTTTCCTGTTTCATTCCCTGTTTGATTCATTGATATAATATGTACTTGCTATCTTACGACACCTTGGAAGAGCTTATATTATCAAAAATAACTCTCCTTGCAATCGATATCGAATCACAAAAATTCATATAAATATTTAACTAAAATCACATAATGTGTATATTCAGAAAAGAGATATAGAAAAAAAACTAAGCAGTGAGAATCAGTTTTAAGAATGCTAGATATTACAGCTAATAAAATTTTCTGACTTCCTAACGTTTACCCCAAAATGGAAGCAAAATTCAGCTAAACCGAAGAAATGTATCTCGTGGAAGCATCATTAGAAAACAGTGTCTGTATTTTCAAAATTGGAAGCAAATTATGCATATGAAAATGTTTAATTGAGAAGTTTCACCTGAAAGTAATTATGCACGGAAATTATTTCACAAATTCAACTGACATTTGTCTGATAAACCAAAAGATTCTCGAACAGGTAACTTACTATATTTTTCAAATCCCTCGGATAACTTTCTAAAGAAATTTCTAAAAATTCTTTATCAAACACACCTCCATTGATACCAGCGTTACAACATTATTCTTCTCACGGATTCACTTTGATAACAAAACAAAGTTGGCAGTCTGTTACACTACCACATGTAACTGAATTACTGCAGTATCAAATAATAAAATTTACGCGAACGGAGCCGAACTTACGTTTAAACTTATTATCCGTCGAGTGACTCAGCAACGATCTTGTGTAACATCGGAGAAATCTATCATAATTTGTGTCAGGCCTCGCAGTGTATTTATCGACATATCGTGGTCGCAGTTGGAATGCTTCAATTGCAAATCATTGCCACGAAAAAAAAAACTATTCGCATGTAATATCCGGTACGACATGCGTGCCGCAACGTTGCGAAAGAATCATCTTCTCAACGTCGGAAAATTTATGGTTCCTTTATCGATACGCGTTTTTCAGGTACACTTCGTCCTTGTTGCACCTTACGCGTATTCGTTAACTTTCATAGTCCGTAATCAAAACTTTCTTTTTGATCCTGCACTTTCTTCTGGTACGCTTCCAAACAGCTGTCGATGTTTCTGTATATGCCTGAATTCGCTTGATACATCAGAGTTTCAAGGATTCTCTCGTTCTTTATAACTTTCGATGGCAATACGATCTGGAAAGGCGAGAAGAGAATCTGTTTGTATTTAGAATAACGAGGAAAATAGCTTATAACATCTATCTCACACTAAAAGTTAGTCCTGTTATGTGACTTTTAATTGCTATTTTTTATCCTTTAATATCAACTATATTTTTCCTTTGATATTTACCCTGATTAGTTCTTGAGGCGTTATCTTATGTAACTTGAGGTCCCTGCTGAGCCTGTCCATGATACATTTGAACTCCACCTTGGCGTCGATCTTGGTCGATTTGGTTTTGATTCTGTGCTTCGCCCAGTTCAGCATCGCCTCGAATTTCTTGACCTCCGCCAGTTCGAGGCCGCGACACATAATCATCTGTACCATTGATTCGCTCAAGGTGACAAAGTCCGAGTGATTAAAGAGCAATTCGGCCCGCGTCTCGATGAATGCGAGGATCATGTTGACCAATTCCGAGGCGGACGTGTAACGCCAGTAATAATTCTCGAGGGCGCACAACATCACGCAGACAATCTCGACCCTGAGGAACTGCTTGGCGTGATGGAAGCAAGCCTGAAGAAGTTCCGGCAGGTCGTAGTGCTCCGCGGCGCATATTAGACCAGGTATGTTGCTGCACGTCAGCGGACAGGATCCGGTGTGCAGGTAATCCAGCAGAATTCGGAAAGTCTCTGGGTCGAACTCGATAATGTCAAACTGAAAATGTTTATGTTTATTAATAGAGAATCAAAACTGAATTGCTCTAATATTTCTTCGAATGTTAATGTGAATTGGTATTAATCGATAATCACTGATTACAGAGGTGAAATAAATATGTAATTACATATTGAAACTTATTTTAGGGCAAAATAATAAGGAAAATGAAAACATTTAATCTTACAAAATATGTTACGGAAAATATTATTCGTTGCTTAACATAATTTCAATATACCAAATTGATGAATCGATCATGTACTTCTTAGCAAACTGTAATTTCGCGTGATAATGTGAACTTTCTAAAACTCCTCTTCGATCATTTTTCTCAGCGTCCAGAGAACACATTAATCGTTGATGTCTCGCTTACCTCGGTCTGTGCTAGTTTGGCCCTATCTACTTTCTGCGCGTCCGCGCATACGCTGAGTCGCGGCACTGCCAATGACTGGGCTTTATCCTTATCCTTTGCTTCCTTGTCTGTAAAATGTTTAAATTGTATCCATCCACTCAGTCGCGAAAGAATGCAACGAACACATCTTTCTATGCCATTACTAAACCTTAGAATTACTATTTTATTATCCCTTTCCCAATGAGCGGCAAGTAACAGTTGCATAACATCAATATTATAGTTTCCTACTCCACAATGTAAATGTAATATAACATGCGTGTTATATTGTATTTACCTTTTCGCGTAGGAAATTATAATATTGGTGTTATGTAACTGTTACTTGGTGTTTGCTGGGTTACGATATCCATATTTACTTGTGAATTTAAAATTATGGGATACTGGAAATTACTGGAATAAAATCACAAAGTGTCTGATATGAAATAAATTGGTCCTTTTCTCCGTAAGAATTGAGAAGGCACGTACTGCTGCAATCCTGCGAGCTGGCCCACCGCTTTCGATCCTCGCTCTGCATAGTGCTGCCGTGCTTTCTGATGCTCCTTCCCCATCCTGCCGTGATCGTACCCAGTCGTGAGAAGGCCCGTTTCACCATCGGCGACGAAGGGACACTTTTGGGCCTAAACACATCAGAACCAGTATCTCACAGAAACCGCGGAGCGGCACCTCAAGGTATGGAGACGGGATTTATGGGCATTTCACGTAGAGACAAGGATAACTCCAGGTTTAAGACGGGGGAAGGGACAAATATCGAATATAAGGTTCACGAAACGAAAATTAAACAACGACGAAAGCTCACTCTCGAAATTAACAGTTTGTACTTGACAACGTGCCAAAGGATCGAAACAATTTGTGCGGATAATTCATCGAATCTATAACAGCAATGTAGGAACTTGTTGTCAATCTAGTCAATACAATTGGCGATTATTACATGAAATTTAGAATATATATATATAATAAAAGGAACAACGGCGAATCGTACACCAATATAAAATTATTGGCGATAATGCCACAATAAAGGTAGAAAGGAAGCATACGTGATATCAATATTATCGACGGAAATGTGTGAGAAAAGAACGCACAACAAATTATAATATGCAGTTTCTCTCTTTTTTTTTTATAGAGTACAGATTATAAGAGAAAAGGTACGTTTCAGAAAAGTACTAGCGAGCAAATGGCAGACTTCATTCGTAGAATTTTGAACAAGAATTGCCGTTTCTCCTCAGCGATCAAAGCTAGGTGAATTCGCCACGTGAATCGTATCATTCGACAAAATATTGCAAGTGCCTCTCAGAGAAGAGCATGCTACATAAAGTCCAATACACGATACATGGTTTGATTAAGTTTGCAATTTTTGCATTACACGGTAATAAATAAAAGATTACGAGATAACCATGCGGTGCCATGAGGATAGGAGACATGGATGTGCCGTGAAAAGATATACATATATCACGATCAAGTAACTATATAGATGTGAAAGAAACATTCGACATTGAAAATCGCAGGCATTAGTCTCACCGTTCGACATTTTCAATTTATCCTCATTGGAGAGAAATCCAATTTCTATCTCACGTAAGATATCGCATAATCCACATACTTGCTCGTGCTTCGACTGAGTCCCCAACGAGGCCGATGTTTTAAGGCGAACGCTCAAAAATCTCCGATCAATTTCGCAAGCACATTTTGCGGATTTGCTTAACACTGTTCGCAATTCGTTTATACGATTTCAACCTTCGAAGCTTACCAGTTTTCGCGATGATGCATGCCGACGCTTTAACGAGCGAACCTCGATATCAACGATTCCGAACTGGACTCGTGAGACTAACAGATAAGTAACGGGCTAACGACAACATTCATGATTATTAAAACGCACCTAGGACTCTCCATGTCGGGAACTTGTAGGAAATTCGAGCTCTTCGGCTTCTGCGGACTAAGCAATGTCGGCGCCGGTCTCGCGAGCAACTCGGCAACCGGTACTTGCGGGCTTCCGAAACCCGCTTGAATTCCGTACAACATCTCTTGAAACACTCTGTATGAAGACAAATGCATATAGATAAATTTTCACATTACGTTGAACGTTAGAGCATAAACGAATGCTTTATGCTCAATTAGTTTTTCATGCTTCCGTTTAACAGATATGTCTCTTACATTATTAATCAACCGGTCTAATTAGCTCAATTTATTTATTTATTTCAAATTCTCTTGGTTATTTTCTGCTCATCGATCTGCGAAATGTTGGACTAATTATAAAATACTTGTTTTATTTGAAATTAATGAACCGAAAGGGAGGAGCATTATTTTCAACCAATAAACGATTGAAAAACATCTTTCTCTAGGGCACTGATAAAAAAAATATCTTAATCCAAAAAAATATTACTTTACTCAAGAAAATTATCATTAGGTGACTCCTAATAACGCATTAACTTAAATTTTAAAAAATAATAAACAAATTAAAACATGCATTGCTTTAATTTAAGTATAATATTTATTAAATGTCAAAGAATAGATAATTTTAAAAAATTTTATTTTAATTCTATGAAATGTTTACTAAGATGTAATTGTCACAGCGAAGAAAATTGGATTTCTTATTTAACAAAAACAATTATTTCATTTAACAAATAGTATTCTATATCTCATGAAATCCTTATTTGAATATAGAAAATGTAATGGTTTAAATTAATTTACTTAATATAATACATAGAGTTACTTAATATTTTTATTTAAATAGAATAAATATTTACTTCAGTAAAAAAATAATTTTAAGTAAATATGCAATTGTTTGATTACGAAACAGATTGAAGAAGAAGAAGAGAAAATATTTGTTACCTGCTTCTTACTGCTAGAATCGCCCTAACGCCGATAAATCGGACTTTTTGTTTTTGCTGTCCGGGCACGAGGAAAGACACGTCGAACAGACTAGTGTTTAGCGTCACGTTCGCTGAATTATTGAGGAACACCCTAGTAAAGTCCTTGGCAAGTTGATCATAATCCTCAAACTGATCTCGCACCGAGTCCAATAATGGTGAAGACGGTCTCATGTGTCCAATCGGTCGCCAAGAACCACGTCTGAGAATCAATAATCGTAAACTGAATCCCACTGATCGAACCATATTTCATTGAGCACTTTATGATCAAATATGCAATTAATGAATTACACGTGGGATTAATTAAATCAGTGATTTATTACATGCATTTTGATATAAAAAATATTTTGTATACGTTATAAAATATACGAGAGGAATAACGAAAATATGGTATGAAACATGTTGATTTAATGCAAAGTACATTCAGATTGCCTTTTTTACAATACACAGTGATTTTAGTCGAACTTTTGGATATTATTTTGTTACGATTGCGTCTTACCTGTACGGTTTCGGAATCTGGCCGGTTTCCGCGTGATTAGCGAGATTCGCCACGATGTCCTCCAACATTTGACTTCTCGTTCGCTCCTGCATTCTCGCGAATTTCGGCGCGGAGTAGCTCGCCCTTTCGCCGTTCACGATTTTCGTTAATATCCATTCCCGGAACATCGGACCTGTTGCGCCCGCGAGAATCCAATTCGATAGATAAGTTCAACGAAGAGGAGATTTTAAATTGATATAATCCTGAGATAGCCAGCCAATTTAATTCTTGCCCCATTTACATTGCCATTATTATTTTCACAATTAAAAGCTCGATGATTGTGGCGCAATTTCAAAGTGGAACTTAACACAGTAATATCAAATTTACTGAATTTTGTCACAAATTACATAGATTTATAATAAAGGTTATATTATTATGCAAATTGTATAATTATATTGTTATTTAATGCATCCATAATGCCAATGATTAAACGTTCAATAAAATAATATCTGCCGCGGCAGGAAGAAAAATGTATAATTTCCCCTGCGATGCGACAATATTTTATAGATTCCGTTTTAGATCGAACGAAATCGAGGGAAATTAATTTTGTTCGATCTAAAACGGAATCTATAAAATATTATCGCATCGCAGATCCAATTTTTCCTGGCAAAATATAATAATACCTTTTTCGAAGACACTTTGCTCCCATAGATACGGTTTGTAGGCCCCAACTTCATCCCTTGTAACTACGGACACCTCGTATCTCGTGATTTTCCGCTTTATCCGTGGACTCACTCGCACCAAGATAAATGTGTGCAAAAAGTGCGACTTGATGCAAGCTGGACTGAAGCTCGTGTTGTCGGCTTCCAAAAATACGACGCACACTATATCGTTGCCGATGTGCCTTTTTCTCTGAAGCTGCGCGAGCAAAGAGAGATTTTTCAATTAAATTCTTGGCACGTTTTATCACTTGAAAATTTTTCAATCGCGTTAAGCGGAAAATGCATTAAATGCAAAATTGACACGTTGACAATAGGCAAATAGGTAACTCACTTTTTGAAGATCGTGTTTCTCGTAAGGCAATAAGGTGGACACATGGAACATTATCTCGATGCCCCTCCAATTGGTGTAGACAGAATATAGGCCCGTCAAATCGTGTACGGTGTCGAGACCGCCTTTGTACTTGTCGAATCCCTTCAGCCTGACCTTGTCCCCGAGAATCTGCAGGAATTCCTCGAAGAGCAGCGAGTTGTCGTTGTTATCTAGTATATCCTCCTCGCCATACTGATTTTCCTGAACATAAATCATCCCCACCTTCAGCTCCGACTTGATAAAAACCTGATCGAGCTTCAGAAGTTCTTCGGGCGTATCTGGCAATTGGCCCAGGGTTAACGGTGGATTGATGTTCACCTCCTTGCCAAGACTACGTACCACTTCTTCTCGATTATACCTGCAAAAAGAAATCCGTCTCGTGTGTCCTCGAGGAGATATTGATTGTAACATGTGTTTGACTGACAATTTTAACTTGTTGAATGTATTTGACTGTGTGCTAGAATACATTTTTATTGGAATTCTAGTACATACGCGATTGACAACGCGGTTCGTCACAACTTTCATTATTCTAGAAACATCTGAAAGATTTATGTTTGGTGTAAATAATAAGAAACCAAAACATCACTTGGGAATTACCGGTCAGCAAAGACGCAGCTGGCGGGGATAAGGCCGTGGACCGTATAACTGATGGCTCTGACCAAGATCCTAAACTGGTCACGATTGTTGAGCGTCTCTTGCTTGATGCTGAGTATCACCGGCCCCAAATCCTCGTCGTTTGTAAAGTAATTCCAATGCTCCGAGCCGTAGAAATATTTCTCGTAGGTCTCCTGTTCGACGGAGGTGAGCTCGAAACCCTGATTCTTTTCCCATTGCTCCTCGATGGTGGTCTTCTTTCGCGGCGGATCGTCCGTGTCGCCTTCATTTTCCGCTTCGAACAGGCAGGAGCTCTTTTCCTGCCGCTTCAGTATCGACGAACGATCCTCCGCGCTCTGTCCCTCCGCCTGCTCGGGATCGGTAGCCTCGTGCTCGCTCTCACTTTCGTCCCAGATCGTGTCTGACGTGATCTGTTGCCGCGAGCATTCGATCCAGTAGCCGGGTGTTGGTATCAGGTTGTGCGGGTACTCTTGGCAGAACTCGTCTACGGGAAAATTTGTTTTCAACTTGCGTCTATTCCCAACTCGCTTATGGACTTTATTTTCTAAAATGAGTAGTGACGAGCGAAATAGATCTCTCGGTACAATACAATTAGAGTAAGTTAGAATGAGAACAGGATCTCTAGTGAGCTGTACTCGCCGAAATTCTGTGTAAGCTGTTTCGATCGGGCCTTTGAGATGTTAAAGTTTTGTAGATCAAGCGAGAAATCACTAAAGAATATAATCACTGAGTAATATCATAGCGTAAAAGTTATTACATTGTCGTGGTACACGTTGAACGTAAATGCAATAATCCTCAACGTTTTCATCATGAAGCGCGCGGACGTCGATTGGGCAATTTCGCTCAAAGCGAAATTAACGTTAATTAAACCCGTTCGACTAGCGCTCTTCTCGACGGAGCAAATTGGTGGGCGATGGCGCCGGTGTGGTGTCTTTGTTCTTCCCAGACACGAAAAGGATCGGTCGGATCATCCTCGAGGCGAGAGGAGGTTTGTTTAGAAATTAGTGCAACAAAGATAACGAGGGGAGGAGAGAGATGGGGAAAACGAGAGAGTCAAACGGAGCAAATAGTATCCAAAGACAAGCACTCCGCCTGAAAATCATTAGAAAGGAATCCGATCCGACAAAGTAGTGCCTCGAGAACGAATCGACCGTGAGGTAGAACCCAAGAGATACGGAGAACCTCGCAGAGAGACTTTCCACAGCGCCGGACTCACGTTCACCCAAGTATCTCCAGAGTAATATGTTTCTTCTTCTCCGCCTCCGCAGGCTCTGTCGCCTCGTTTTATCAATCTTCGTCTTCCTTTCTGCCCGCTGGTTCTCCTTGTCCCGGCGCGCGCGGCTGTCGACGATACCGCAGTCGATTCACTGTAAGGTAGAACACCAAGCTGTTTGCAAACAGGGCTTGGTATTCGAACTTAGAGTGAGCCGCCCGCGGTGCCCACCTCTTCCACGGTTCCGTTGCTGCGAATCGACCTAATTGCCGGGGCTCTTTGTTCGCATATAATGGCCATCCATATCTCACTGGAAACCCGAATTTCGACACGGCGCCGGTGGCTATGGTTCCCTCGACCTCCTTCGGGAATTCGTTGGTTTCTTCAGTTCGCAAAGCAAAGGGGATCGTACATCAAAGGAATATGTAAGATTTCTTAAGGGATAAATGTTTCAATGCCGACTGATATGTGTGTGTGTGTGTGATCCAGGATAAATAAATATTGGCATTTTCGTCAATCTCGTGCTTAATAACAATTTTTATAAAATTTGTCGACACGTTCGACAGCGTCGAAAACAAAATGCAGAAAATTCGCGAAATGTATTATTGGACGTAAAAATCTGCTCCATGACCGAACGTATCAATATTTATTTATTCGGGGATGAATGTTATAATCGTGACGGCATTTCGCTGATCGCAAATTAACGCCTGAAGATTACATCAACGCTCGCAGTCCAGCTTGCTTTGAAATTACCTGATACGCGCGATGATCAATGCATTGAATACAAACTAGTGAAACGCGACGGCTATTATTTCTTCTTTCACGCTCGTAACTCTGATTCGTCACATTTTCACCGTGAGACTTACATTCGAATTCGGTACGACGGAGTATAACTTCTCACATATAATCGTGCGTAATCCAAGACAGGCGGAACCACCTGTAGCTTCATCTCATACATATGCACTCTTCCAAAAGTCGGCGGCACCGGGCACGTTCGGGAAAGTGCAGCGCGACGATAAGAGAGAGAGAAAGAGAGAGAGAGAGAGAGAGAGAGAGAGAGAGAGAGAGAGAGAAAGAGGAAGAATGAGCGATCCCGACGGCCGCGACGAAAGCACTTACCGGAGCACGCCTGAGGTGGCAACGGGAAGATCAGGGTGGTCGAGGACTTTCTTCTCGCAACTGCACAGCCTAAACTTTGTGGTTTGAAGCTGCGCAACTGCTGCATGAAGTCCGAGCACTCCATCAGCGCCACGTCGGCAAAGTGCAGATCGCAAAGTATCTGGTTCTTGAATCTGGAATGCAGAGCAGTCCTTAGAATTACTCGTTGAAAAACGAGCGGCACTTTACTGCCTCTCAAACGGAGAATTACAAAAGGGCGTCTATGGAGTCGCGTTTACAGCATCAGAGCGAAGCGTCAGTTGGTGACAACGAATGGCGGTGATATTGTTTTCTTGACATTAATCGTAAAAATGCGAAGCTGCGTCACGTGTAGCGAGCGAGTATAATAATTGCAAGTATTTTCATTGTGCGATAACATCTCTTTTTTATCGCGCGACCTTAATGTTGAATTGGACCTGATCAATCGTGAAAACTACGAACAATCGGGTCACTATTTGCAGTAAAAGCTCAACGTGCTCGCTAGAAAATAATTGAGTAGACAGATCTCTGATTATGTTAGGAGGTAAAAAAAAATCTCTCCGATTGACGCATTTCGTTCCAATAAAGCTCGGGAACTCAAACGAGTCTTATCACGGATGAAAACAATCAAGAGGAACGAAGTTTCATGAGAGTTCAGATCGCTTGATAAAACGTGAATCCGTTGTGGCGTCCCGACGGCGGCTGTTATTGGAACACGTCGCTCCCTTATCTCCTTTATCGTTCGCTTTTATCGCGTGGGTTTACGCGATACCAATTAAAATCGTGGATTATGCCGAGATTCGCTAGAAACTGTGTTGATCCCTAAAAGAACGTGTTTGATTTCTTTGAAATTCAATTTTTAGAATATATTTCGTTAGACGGAAAGTATTCTATTCTTTATTACGTCTGTCTTAAGACTGTAATATGTATAAAACTTTATTCATTTTTTATAATAAAAAATGTGTAAAACTGATACTATTCAGTGTCAATAGAGGAAAGTATTATATTATGAGATAGGCTCCTAATATGAGGGGGCGGAGTTTTTGCTAAATTAACAGGCGTCATCTGTTGGTTTCACCGTGAATTTATTGTCCTTGGAGTGAAATCTGTTTAGTGGAAAATTGATTGGTAGATCGAGTAATCGTTGCGGAAAAAGATTTGCGATTCAATTTGGACGTTGAAAACCTACTGTCCCATATTAGAATCCTACACTGAGAAAGATTTCCATCGGATAAACCAATTAAAAGGTGTTTTCGATGGTGAATTTTTCCGATTACGTTTTCCGATTAAATTATGGATACACCCGATGAAATTTATCCGATGAAATTTGATCGAAAAACCGATCATATTTTTCGTCGGACATACAATTTAATTGGATTATCCGACTATATTTAATCGGACATTTTTCTCAGTGTACCGCATAATAGAGGACTTTCCTCTATTTCATCTTTTACACTTGGCGTAAAATTTACGAACAGACAAAATTATCGATTTCTGCAAAATTGCAATTTATAAATATAGAAACAGTTGCACGGCCAAATTCCCCAAATGTAGACTAACGCTCGTTAATATTCACGTTACACGTGTATTCGTCGATATCTGGCGAGTTGTGCTCGATAATAGGCGACTGCTGTAGACACAAATCACAGAAAATATCATTTCCTAGGCTTTACACGACGTTTCTATTTATATTCCCCGTACGGCGACAGGCGGCGGGGCCTCATAACAGCGACGCGTTAGCGGCTTGCGTAAGGGTTGTAAAACGGCCGGTAATCGCATAACGTTACATTAAAACGTCCATTTCAATTCGGCGTCTGTATCTGACAGGATTCCGCGCGTTATTTCCCCGGCCTGGCGGTTCGCGCGACGGAATAATAAAAATATTTTTCGATAATCCCCCCCGCTCTCTCGGCGGAGCAAGGCTTGTCGGAGGGGGATGACATTATGACGCACTGTGACGCGGCGTTTCCAACGCGGCGAAGCCCCGGCGATAACGCCCGTCGTAACGTACGTTGAATCGCAAATGGGCTTCTGAATCGGCGGGCCGATATGGAGGGATATCGTTCGTCCTTTTTATCCGCGGCAGTCCACGTTGAAATCGCCGATTCAACTCCACGTCGCGTCGCATGGCATGGCACGTGACTCGCGCGACGGGGTTGGCTTTCCGATCGACTGAGCCCGCCGCGATCATCCCCCATACGTGACGTAAACGTTCTCTCGAATGGGAAATGCGATAGATAGCCGGGCCATTCATCTCGAGACCGAATCTCTCATCGGCCATGTAAATTCGATCGGGGTGCGCGCGCGATATTCGCGCGGGGGCGGCATTCCGACCGGCCGAGCCGGCCGCTCGCGTGACTCTTAACAAAACCGGGATGATTTACCGTGAGGAACGTGTCGCAATCTCGTTGAATTTCGGCAGCGTCCAATCAAATTAATTCGATTTCCCCGACGGCGACGTACACGCTTGATTTCGCGTTTTGTCTTCCGACCGCTGTCCACGTCGTGTTTATCGGACGCGGAAATTCTACGCTCGTCGGGGAAAGTAGTAAAAGTCGGACGGCGACGTGACGCGCGCGAACGGCGAAAAAAGCGCCTTCCGCGATCCATTGACGCCTTTCTCGCCCCGGCGAACACAAAGTGTTAAATCGCGAACGGAATCTCTGTTTGCATGCGTTTACAAAAGCGCGGCTGCGCGACCGACTCCACGGCTGACTGGGTTTCTCGCGCCGCACAAAGGACGTGCACGTGTTGCGAGTACTTTATTTCATCTGCGGACTGCTGCGAAAACTCGAATTATGTAACACATTTTCAAAGATGGGGAAAAAAATTACGTATTAGAGGAAAGTCCCATATTATGGGATAGGATCCTAATGTGGGATAGCGGGGTTTCTGTTAAATTGATAGGCACACGGAGAGAATTTGCTCTTAAGATTTATCCTGAAAATCACGTAATCGTGGAACAACATGGCAGTTTGAACAATTTTGTGAGAGTTTTCGAAAATTTCATATACCTTTTACTAGTAATTATGCCTAGTATATATTTTACTAGTAAAATGATAAAATTTCAAAAAGACCCGGTGAAATTATTTGAAATGCCGTGTTGTCCCACGATTACGTGATTTTCAGGGTAAAATTTAAAAGAAAATTCTCTCCCACGCATCATCAGTTGATTCCACCATGGATTTATTGCCCTTGGAACGACTGTTTAGTAGACAATTCATTGTTAGATCGTGTAATCGTTGCGGAAAAAGAGTTGTGATTGAATTTGGGTGTTGAAAACCCGCTATCTCATATTATAAACCTATCTTATAATAGAGGCCTTTCCTCTGTGTATTACACTTGCGACGATAACTCGTTAACAGTAAATGGAGTCCTGCTCCTTACTCCGAAAGAAGTAGATCGAGCGATTACATCTGTTTATCGATTATATTATTTTAGACGTCTGTGAAATACGGATCGAGCGGTGTTTCGCGTCTACCTCATCGTGTGTATCTTGAGTGTATTCGCTACTCAGTCTCCAAGACTGAAATATGAGAATTCAGCACCTTGGGACCGCCTGTGCCGAGGCTCTCGTATCATAAGCGTCGGCTTGGTTTTTAAAATATGAAAAAGGAGTCAAGAGTAATAGCATCGAGCAAATAGCATGGATATAAGTCCGCTAAATGTCGTATAGTTATTTACGTTCCCGTCCGGCGGACGGTGTTAAATTGCGAATAAAAATTATTTTCCCCGCGCAACATTTCGCGTTGCCAATATCATAGTCGTAACAATAAAACCTGACGCGCTTGGCTGTATGATTTACCGTCATCCTAAATAATAGCACTTGCGGTATACACAATGTAAAGCGTATTCATTCGTCGGACGCGGCTCCATTTTACACGCGGCTGAATGCAGATTGCGTGAAATCAGGTCGGGGATAATAAAAAATAATAAATCGACGAGCGAAATAATAAATGATAACCCGGATGATGAAATTGCAATTTGTGACTAGGCATCTTTCTCGCAATTTCCGGGGAAGGGGGGGGGGAGCATGCACTACCCTTCTGCGAAGCGATATAAAGTCACGGAGTTTCGCACAGAGTTGCAAACAGTGTGAGCCACGCAAAACCGAGACCTCTCAATGTTCGGAGTGTTCGAGAGAAAGTGCGTGTCAAGATTTTTCTGGGATCAGCATTTGTCCGGAGGTGTTCTTGGAAAACGATTGGATTGCCTATCGACATCGATCGCGGGAACTTAGAAGTCTCGATGATAACGGGAGCGCAATAAAACGAGTGTGATAAAAGGGGAAGAGTGTCGCGCCCTCGTGCTAATGAGGCGCGGCTTACGACAATTCTGATTACGGATAACATCGTTTTACGAGTTCGCCGGAAGCGTGAACCGCGATACTATCTTACTCACCGTCTCGCCCGCTTTTGATTGGGTCCCGTGAGATTCAGGCCGCAGCTGTTACATTTTAGGCACTCCTCGTGGTAGTGGTTGTTGTCGTACAACGGCGACGGTTCTTGAAACAATAAGCACAGAGATAGAGTTCGGTCTCTAAAAGATGTCGCATTAACACGTGGCAAACGCTTGCAACGACAGACGCCACGGTAGGTAAATAAATTCATCAAGTCTTTAGAAACGTTTAGATAAAGCGTTTTAGTTAAAGGAGAAAAATGTTATAAGAAATGTAAAGAAAATTTAATAAGCCCAGGTGACGCCAAAAACCCTTCGGGTGGGCAACTCGAGCAGGTAGAAACATTGAATCTTTGTTAACAAAAATGACTGAGTTAATGCAGAATATAATAGGAGCTCCATGACTCGACAAGCCCTTCCTACTTTAATCGTAATTAATAAAGCATCTCTTACGATAGATACCACAGAGTGTCCGACTAAACGTTCTGGGGTTCGCATTTCATCCTACGTTACTTCGTAAAGGAAACTGCAGTAAACATCTAACTGTAACATCTAAATAAATAATCTTTGCAGTAATTAAAGAGAAAAACGTTTCTCTGTACATTGACGCGGCCTTTTTTCTCCCTCGCTTCTCGCATCCACCGTGTCGCAAGCGTCTCCCACGCGTAATACCCTCTTTCTCATTATCGCCATTAAAACCTGCCGGCTGTTCGGGAAAACTTGCGCATCATCCCGTTCCATTTACACTATTTTTCTACCTCCGTGTTTCCCGACACCCTCCCCCGCCCCTCTCGTTCTCGCGTCCTTACTTAACTATCGTTCCGCGAGGTCGTGTCGAGCTAAGCTGGGGTGTGGTCGGCGCTCTCGTGACACCACACCACGCCACGACACACCGGAGGCCGTAAAGAATTCCAGCGCATGCCAGGCATGGAATTTTGATATCGAGAGGAAAGCGGGCGTCACGGCGCCACGCCGGTCTCGCCAGGAAGCAGGACGACGAGGCGTTCGTGACCGCCGCGATATGTGCTAATTGCACGCATATGCACGCACGCACGCACATCCGTCAATGGAGGTCCACACATGCGTGCTCCGTTTCGTGACTACGGAATTAATGGAGTTGTCTCAAGTTAGAAATATTTAACGAACGCGGCTCCCATTCTCAATTCTGTACTTGGCCGAGCTAAGGACGTGAGCTTAAGATTATAACGCGATAAAAAAGAAATATGGAGGAAACGTGACGAAAGAAATAAGAAAAGAACTGTTCTTTCTTTTCTTTAAGCGTTATCCTAAAATAAACTTTCGCAAAGCGGAAAATGCTTATGCAATGAGAGGATAATTTATTTATAAATGTCAATTTATAAGAGCAGATGCGAATGCGTTGTGCGAGGGAAAGTCGGCATAAATTTTACTCAAGCATTTTTACTCAAGATCGTTAAAAAGGGTCATTTGGATGCTCGAGAATTATTCAGATCAATTCAAAGGCTATGGCAGAAAGTCAGGGAACGCTCTATAGCAACATCCCCTCCTCGCATACGAACCATAGATATGCCGACTTGGGTCTCGTTGTTTAACTTGGGTTGTTAGAAAGTTACGTGTATATAATGTGATTATTATTACGTTTTAACAGCGATGTGTATCTTGAATAGAAATGACGACTCGCTCCCGATAATTGAAATTTGATGAGTTAAAATTGCAATGGCTTCCTACACACGCGCGCGCGCGCGCGCACACACACGCACACACAAGATGTTTGTTTTAAATTAAACGAGAAATGTATGTACATTAAAAATCATATTTAATGTTATTTTAATTGGAGCAGCGTTTTGCACAATTCAAACTGCAACAATAATATGATACAATAATATTCTATAAATATAACATTATGGAATAGAAGTAATTGTTTATTCGTCTCAAATTTGTAAAATATTACTATTAGATTTCGCGAGTGAATGTAATTACGATGATAATGTTATTTTCATTCGCAGGCACCTTTTAACTACGAGCAACGGTATGACAATTTTATAGCTCTATATTTTATTTCTTTTAGTCGTTTTTCAAGTAAAACAATATAAGGGAAGGCGTGCAAACCTTGAGTTTAGGCAAGAGGTTTTCTAAAGTATTTTCAACAAAATAAATTTATAAAATCGACTTTACCAAACGACATTATTTCGAACGTGTTCCGTGGAAAACAGGATCGAGACGAATAGGTTATTAATATTTACGTGCCGTCGAGAAAAGTTTAGGAGGCGCCGATGGATTCGAAATATAAAGTAGCTACGTACGTCGCGGCAATCTCGTTACGAGTTTTTACGGACCGCGATATATCTCGTGCAAAATATCCAGACGACGAGCGAAATTATTCGCGGCGCGACTGTAGCACGTGATACGATATAAGATTACGCTGGATGGTATATCGCCTCGCCCATTATATTCTTTCTACCCTCGATTTGCGCCATCTAATATACTTTACATGCGAGCTTCGTATACCTTAAGCTTCTTTCGTTTTCTCGAATGTATTTTAGGAGTCAAAATAAATCGTGTGCTTCGCATAATCCCTTTTTTTACTGTAAATAAAATGTGACACGACTCCGTCGGCCGTCGCGCATTAATCGAAAGCGCACAATGTTTCGCGTCCATTTCGGTGTCCTAATATCGCTGAAAAAGTACTTTGGATCACGCGTGATTTTTTGGCGGGAGTAAAAATTGAAAATTTCGAAGGATAAAATGCCGGAATAAATTCCTCCCTCGGGAAGAACGCGAGGCAAAAACGTCCGCATTGTGACTCGGGTCGATGAAATAAAATTGCGTAAGGCCGCAAACGAAACTGCGGGAAATGTCGATTAGCCCGCGGTTTATATGTGATGATATATATTTCAATACCCCCCCCCCCTCCGTCGCGGTAACGTGGTGTGTACATACATACCTCTTCAGGTTTCGTTTTTTATCTGGAAGCGCGGCGCGATGCAAATCTCGTTTAAAATATGCAGGAGCTAGGTCAAATTCTAACGAGCGTCTACCACCGAGATAAAACATGCGCTTTACCTCGATCTGAGGCAAAGATTCGGAAAAAAAGAGTATAGGAGGCGACGAACAAGTCTCGTCACTAATCTGCACGTGCCGCGACGGCCTTTCCAACCCCTCGCATACGACGATTATGCTATATCCAAGATGACCGTGTTTCTTATTTCTGCATCCATTACGCGACAAAATAGAGTATCAGAAAAATGTCAAGTAATATGGAACGTGTAATCAACATTTTGCAGAGAGAGAGAGAAAAAAAAGGAATCTTGTAATATCTCTACTTCCCACTTCCAATCGCGATACTGACAAGGCACGTCCGAAAGTTGAAAAGCGTTGAACAAAGTAAATAAGAATGATGACGTTAGAGGCGCGAATGAAATAGAGCTTCGGTGCAGCCATTGTGCCGGAAGTGTTTGAAAGTATTACTTTGGACGTTGCGTGTTTGTTATTCCGGGCAGGTTTCAGTAACGAAGGAAAGTAATAGCGTGCACGCACGAACGCGGTGATATTGACGCAGCCTTTATCAGTACTTTAACACGTTAACGGCGGACCCGATCTATCAGGCCGGGACTTTGAATTTTTCGACTCGTTCCAATCAATGAGAGGCCCTGCGTGCGTTTCATTTCTATTTCAATCTCTTCTTTCAAATCACATAAAAAATAAGCAGGATAAAAAAAACCCTGTAGACATCTGAATGTAACTTTTGCTCCTGCATTAAACATTTTAATCTCATTTCATTCCGTAGCTCTTGTTTCTCGTGGTAACAGGTAATCGTAACACACTTTTCTCCGCATAAAAATGAAGATGCTAGGAAGCAAAGGATACCACGAGAACCTAATCTGATTTATGCAATTAACGTGAATACATTTTGCGGCATAAAGGGGGTAGTAGCCCGATTTCCAGGAAATTAGCGATGGTTCATGGACTCGTGCTTCGGCAATTAAAAGAAGAACCTCGCGATTTTTCAAGGAAGCATTTACTGTACGTTGGATCGAATTTTTATCGTAATCTCATCTTAATTCCCTTATGATGGACTTTCGCCGCGACAATCTCCCGTGTTATCTCACGACTACCAATGAAGCTTCTGCGAGCGTTAGATTGCAACTCTCTTGCCACTCCTAATTAATTAATTCCGCGTTGTCCTGTTACTCCCATTTCTGTCGACAAATGCAATCTCGCGCGCATACGCATGCCCTTCGTAAAGCATCCAGCGCGAATAAAATTTGCGAGCTTTATTCCCAAGGAAAAGATGAAGCGCATGAGCGTGTAATATCGCAGACGCGCGCTATCGCTCACGTTGTCCCGACAACTTTTATTGACACTTTGACCCTCGTCTTCGCCACGTGTTTAAAATCAGTTGGTTTACCCGTCGTCGTCGTCGTCGTCGTCGTCAGTTCGCAGCGTCTGGGTTCGGTCGCGGTTAATGAGAAAATAAAACTCGTCGCACCCGATGCGACAAGAAAGCTCGGATTCGTCGCAAACTCCGCGAGCGAGTTTCGTCGTCTCGGCGGATGCGAGTCGCTTAATTCGCGCGTAAAACGCAATTACACGCACGTGCCGTGTGCGTAATGCAATTGCATCTGATAGTTCCGGTGGATGACACTTTCAGGCAATGACGTCCGTTGTGAAAACCGGGAAAGATCGCGAAGCGAAATACTCTTTCAGCGCGTTACCTAATATTAATTTTATTATCAAATATTATTATATTTAGTATATTAAAGCGGGAGAAAAAGCTCGCGGGTAACACTGAAGGTGGAATTGTTAAATAATTATTTCAGGCTATTGTGCCCATCACTTCTATGTCATCGTGCACGTATTCGTCATTTTAATAATAGCATTTAGACACATAATTAATGAGAGCTATATATAACCGCGGTTATAACACGCTTTAACCTTTACCAGTTCAGAAAATTCAATTAGAATCGAATATACAGAATGCATCAGATTTCCCGCGCGTTTCTTTTCATTTGTAGATTGTGCAATTAATTAGAAGCTGATCTTCGCCGTACGAGAACGTCAAAGTATTTAATATGCCCCATATTATAAGCGATCGACATTTCGAGGAACTGTACAAGGAGCCTGGAA